CCCCCCCCCCCCCCGCCCCCACGGATGACCAGCGTTAACTATTGCGATTGGCCACATGTCACCTGGTGTACACAATGATTATCAATCTCGTGACACTTGATTTGCCAAATGTAAACATTGAACATGAGTAGAAAGACTTAAGTGGCCACTTTTATACCAGCGTTATTGATATTTATTTTATTTGGATGAAATTAAGAAACATTGAGACAGAGAGCGTAAGTAGAAAGAAAGGTGCATTAGAACACAAATGCAATAATAATAAAGATAATAACTATGGAGACAGTTTAATGTGGTACTTAAGAGTGATTACAGTTGATGAGGAGCCATAAAGCTTCGAAAATAAAGAACATAAAAGTTTTTTTCTCCGTAACGCTGGTTGAGAAATATTGGAATAAACATGTTGAGTAAAATTTGCAAGTACAGTTTAGGTTTTTAAATAGGTTGGTGAAAACTGGAAGAATTATCTCGTCGACACTTATGCATACTTGGGCATCTCATTCAAACTTCTAGGCAGATTCAAGACGTTGGTGGAGCCAGTAGCACTAATCTTAACTTTTAATTAACATATGTCGCTTGCAAAACGTTGGGCCTAGTTCGTCACAGTCGCTTAGCTATTCAAGCGCTTCCTGCCAGCCATGCACGTAGAACTGCACTTATGCAATTTCATCCTAAGCCCAGTTCCTCACTCACTCTTATTTCTAACTCTCAGAGGTAGCCAATTTCACTTTATCTGAGGATCCGACGCCAATACCTACTTCGCCCGTATCTAGGCATACCTAGCCCTCCAACGCCCCCGCCACTACTACTCATTAAAATAATAAATCTCGCCTCTTCTTGGGTCCGCATTTAGTGATTTTAATGCTAGCCACCTGGGGTGTGCCCGATAGACTTAACTCTACGTGGTGTATCCCGGGCAAAAAAAGTCGAAAAACCGGCGGTTGACTTCCGACTTCAAACTACCATGACCCCACTGTTTATCATGTCCCACCACTTCTACAGTACTCACCTCACCTTTTTACTACCTTTGTGTCTGTCTGTCTCTTTTACGTCTGTGAATCATTCTTCTGTTCCCCCCCCCCCCTCCTCGACTTTTCCCATTTTGATGTTCTTCATCTCTATGCAGTCCTATAACTGGTGACCATCTAGTCCAAGCAAATTGGGTTTCGTCTTAGAATACACGCTTCCAACTACGTCGACGAAGTTTTACATTGACATTTAAAAAAAACACAAATGCCAACACGTAGAAATTAAGTTCTTCTAAGTTACTGAACTCAAGCAAACACACTCTTAGGAGGGAATAATAATGAACAAAACCTAAATTAACTTGTAACAAAATAAATATAAGTGTTAGGAAATAAATAGCAATATATAAGACACACTTGGGCAAAATTCGCAAACATTATTCTTTTTTGAACTGGTTCTTGAATTTCTACAATAGCTCATAGATATGCAAGACTAAAATGGAGACAACAGTGAAGGAAATTACTGACTAAGTAGACAGCCGATCATTTAATGAGAATTTAATTCTGCAAGGACAAATTCGTTTCCTTAATGCCAAAAATCCTTGTCCCACTATCTTCCTGTGGTTTGAGTGTTTGTAGCGTAATAAAACAAATGGAAAATTTATGAGAATAACAAAAAACTGCGCAAATTTGCTTCGTATTCCTGTTCGAACCTGTAAAGATTCATATTAGACTAACTTACAGCGGAGAATCAGATTGAAACTTCCATCCGAGTATATTTTGAAAAGTTGATGAGAGTTCTGAATGATCCGGCAGCTTCAGAAACTCGCAGCTACACACCCCAGTGATAGTAACAGGCATATTTCCATAGAAGCTGATGCAACTTCCATTGTGTTGAGGAAAAGATTTCTCAGGAGGGAATAATCGTGGTTTTGATCTCTGATCGTAATCGTTTTCGAAAGCCTTAAGGGACAAAGTTACATATTGCACTTCTCGAAAAAGGGCATCGTGAACAATTTTTTCAAGGAGACGGCTAAATCGATAGTAGTGTGAATTATCACTTCTCCCATTACCACTCATAACACATTCCTGCAGGGAACTCTGAATGTTTAGAAAACCATTCCCGGGTAATAGCACAATTTCACAGAATGAAGGTAACTTTTCTGCAAGCTGAAAATAAACACTACTTAAATGAAATTGGTACAATTAAAATTACAGTAAGTTCACTCAAACCCACATTCTGAATCTGGTCAATTGTACTTCGATAGATTTCAGAAATACCACTGAAGGGAATAACCTCCTTTGACTCATTGTGAATGATGATAACAAGAAGACCTGAGGCTAAGGTACTCTTGAAATCTTTCTGAAGGAAAAGTTAGTCCGAGAGATTACGATTTGAAAAGAATTAGCTTACCATGGCAGACGAGAAGTGCTCAACAGCAGAAATAATGTCGGCTTTTAAACCACATTGATTAAACATAATGAGGCCGAGAAGACGTTTATAGGCTTCTATTGTTCCCCAAATATTTTCCTCATCGGAATAATACCTTTTATACCGGATTTCAAACACCCGTTTGCCGTCTAATGTGTCAAAGGTAAAAAATTAAACAGAATTAGCGTACATTACAAGCTTCTTAAGCATACTCAAAAACACTAACCTGGTGATTCATTAATCACATATGTGTATAAGAGTTGAAAGGTTTTAAAGATATCGTCAAAGCAAATGGGTCCCTTCCAGAGATTTCCTTGTTGTACAAGTGTTGTAAGGGCACCATGGCACTCCAGGGATATGTCGTAAATTAGCTCTTCTAGCATACTATGGAAGAGAATGGTCCACACAAAAGGAACCTGTGGGTATAAAGTTCAACTTAAGGTATAACTATTAGGCAAACAATTTTATTCATTAACCTTATTAACTGATGCTTCATATATAAAGATACTTTGACGTAATTACAATATACATTAAGTCAGCGGACAATTACTTAAGGAAATTATGCATTATAATTAACGTTTATTTAGGACAAAAAAATAAATGTTAAAATTAATTTAATTCTCGTATATTGATGTCTTGTTGTATTTTTATCAGAAATAGATTATCTAATACAATTACATATTTACTTTGTGAAAGAGACAATGAGCATACGGGCTACAAGCGGGACTACAATTGTGCGTACGATGCAATTTGTCAACTTCAACGACCTTAAAAAGGGGAAATGCCAATATTTAATTATTTTATTAGTCGAAACAATGGAAATTTTTAAAAGCGCTCTAAATATTTGATTGGTAAACTATAAATAACTAGTTTTGGAATATTTTTATATTTGTGTAAAGTTTACAAACAAACTTTACCTGTTCAATTTTTAACAGTAAAGTGATAGTTCAAATAGTCTCTCAAACGATTTCTGGTACTAATGCATTATATACCACTGAACCTAAATGAATTTTAAAGAAAACTACAAGGTCAACGTATCTTATATTTCGAATGGTAGTCATTGACAATAATAATTGTCATTATATATGAGAAACAACTAAGACGCATAACTTAAATCAGTGAAACAACCATCTGTATTCCCTTTAAAAACAAAAAACTTCCTAGTGGGTGAACTTCTGTTTAAAGGACCTAATTGAGTAGCCTCCGTTTTTCCATCTCGAGTTTGTCTTTAGTGGGAAACTTGTACTCATACTGCAAAAAAGTCTATTAACCGGCAGTTGACCTTTCGCTTCAATCTACCATCACCCCACTGTAGGTCATATTCGACCACTCCCACCGAACTTATCTTACCTTTTCTCTGCCTTTGTGTCTGTCTGTCTCCTTTACATCTGTGAATCATTATTCATTCACCAACCTCTCGAATTTTTGTCACTTTGATGTTTCTCCTCCTCTCTGTGAAGTCCGAAGTCAACTAAAGGGCTAATGATTACTATTAAAACGCCTGCCATTTGAAATAAATAAAGTTTGTATTTATTTAGTCCCTGCTACTGAAATAACCGCTTTGGGCAATACAATTAGCTTTTATGCACATTTTTTGGAGTTGTATTCTTAGATAAATATTTAATGTAAATTAGATACTATCTTTTCACTTTCTCTAATGGTAAAATTCTTTTTCCATTCACAAAAGTGGAAGTACTGAATCTCTGCCGTGATTTAAAGTAACCTGGATTCGAAAAGATATAAAAATTCAGTATTAAGATAAAAATTTATTTTGCTATACTTTGAGATTGACATCATATATAATTTATATTCTGTCGATAAAGCATTTATTTCCGTTGAAATTGTCTTCTCTGAACATCATTGTTCCTTGGTGTTTCTTCGCTTATCCACCAATATAGAGGTCTACGATAGTCATTATCGGATCTCCTTTTGATACTGAAAGCTAATAGAGAGAAATTGACGAAATATTAAGAGAGAACAAAAGAAAAATAAATGTGATGAAAATTAGGAGTTAGTGAGGAACATGGAGAATTTTATACCAATTATTATCTTGTTTGGGGCCAACCAAATAGGAAATAGGCAATCAAAACACAACATTACACACATAAATACAATTGAATTTTCTGTGTTGACGTGTTTCTTGGTCATTGATTTTTACTAACGGAGGCGAAACTAACACAATACTCGAAATGAAAATGTTGGCTCAGTGGTCATTATGCCTGCCTGTCAACTCTGAGGTCACGAAAACAATCTTCATCGAAATACAAGAAGTGAGGTAGGTAACTAGGGCAATATAAATGTTGATAACATACAAGTTTCTCGCTACAGGAACGCCAAGATAAATTTTGCCTTTCCATGATAAGTGTTGCTTAAGCCTATTTAACAAATTGTAAATTAAAATAATTTTTTTCTAATCATTGCTCGTAGGCGAATTATATTTTTCTTTCATAAAAACTGCTTAAAACAGAGAAGTTGTTAAAATAAGATCTAGTTCATTGGAAGAAAGTATTTTTCAATACTCATTCGGAACGGATGAGTAGTATATGACTAGAGTATTTTTTGTCTCTTTCTCGAACAGTTTTAATAATTAGAGTCGATCACACCCATCTTTATCAAACTCTTGACTTCGACCATCACCCTCACACAAAGTAACTAGTAGTAACACTTGTAAAATATATTAATAAGGTCAATTAAGCCACTGTTTAATTGAAAATAGAAATTACTTGCATCGCAGGGACAGTTTGGACACTTGAGGCACAATAGGTATTGTTGTTTAACGTACCGATCTACCAAAGAAGATAAATGTCAAAAATCAATGATTCTGAATATTATTAGTCCACATATATTTAGTTATAATATGTGGAAGCATTTAATTACTTGTATAAATGCGGGTGGTTTAATACATAGCTTCACTTACGTGATACTGGCGATCAACACCCAACAATGTATATTCAGATACATGTCTGATTAAGAAAAATGTGATTAAATTTGATATTTTCCAACTAAATTTGCTTATTTATCTTATTTCTATAACCAATTTACTCGTCAAAACATCTAAGTCGGCTTGGCAAGCAGAAAGTCACACCTTGTTGATGCGACACTTTTCTTCCATGTTAGACGACAAGTCGTCAAGGTCATTTGACATAAATTAGGAGGGTGGAAATACTCGGCATGGAAATTGTTTATGGTAAAACAATCTGGTTGTACGTTGATGCAAAGTTGGAATAGTCATCTCTTCAAAAGTATGATCAAAAGATAATATAAGTAAACCTAATACTTGTCATTTGCTTTACGCTAAACAATAAAGGCCAAGCTGATGATATTTGAAACTAAAATGTTCCATGGTGATTGACAGGGGGGGGGGAGAATCTTAGACCTGTTCCAAGGCCGAAGGTGTCATTGGCTAAAACTCGAGCAAAAATACTCTCACCATTTTTTGAACCGACCATTTTGTATAGCTTATGGTAAAGGGAAAGATAATATGCTAAAGGCTGCTTAGAACACTGCCCAAAGAATGGCGCTGCAATTGTACAGTCAGAGACATACGAGAGTTAACATTCTTAAAGAAGAATTTCCACTGAGAAACCTTGCCACACAACTCCAAAGACGAAGATTAAATCTTCACTGTGAAGATGACTTATTAGTTAATGAGCTACTGAAATTTTACAAAAAGAAAATGCGTCTAAATCTGATCAAACGAGGAGTTGGTTGATAAAAATTTAAGTGAATTTCAAACAGATGCTTGGTGAGAAAGAGGACGAGAGTTGACTGATGAATCCTATCGAAACTCCCACCCTAACATTGGTGGGTAACCAATGTAAGAGAACCAATGTAACCAAAAGAGAAATAATAATAACAGTAATAATAATAATAATAATAATATGGACTACATCATCCAAAAGAAACCAAAATGCTGATATTTCTGGAATTGAGATGAAGAAGAGTACCTTTGAATCCCAGACTCCCACCTCCACCACCTTGTTGTTTACAGATTGCAAACATACCTGCCTTTCAGTTCTACCGTAGTAAGTAAGTAGAGGAAATGCTCTATCATTACAGATTTGAGGCCTAGTATGAGTTCTGCTAAACACGGGGATGAAAAGTTCCCATCTTTTCCCACAGTGATGAATATTTGAAGGCAATTTCATCTGGTTATTTTAAAAAAAAGGTGTTATCTACGATGCGTTTTACAGTCCTATGTACCCTAAAAGTCGAAAAAGGTGAATAATTTTTTTTTCGCCTCGAAATGAGGATTTCTAGATTGGCTCGAAAGTAGTAGGGGCCTCTTTTCACTTCAAGAATTTATTAACAGCGTTAAAATGGAGCTTATCCTCAAACCGCTTTTCACACACACACACACACACACACACACACACAGTGCTATTTCATCTTCTATGGTGTTGTTGCAGTGCGCTAAGTGAGATCATAATTTCTTAACTTATTAACGAGAGTCAATATACAAAAGCCTTTTCTTAATGTAGAAAATTTTCAAATAGAAAAATAAAAATCTAGCAAATCATTCCAATTTCACTTGTAAGACTATAAAATCAACTAATTACTCATGACGCATCAGAGAGGTCTACACAACCTAAATTGTAATATCAGTCAATTCACGAAATTTGGCGAAATGAAACTCATAATCCTACACTTACACTTCCGCGAAAAATTAATTGATTTGTAATTTAAAGAAGAACGATAAGAGATGGATGTTTGCTTCATATTCACACACCCTTATGGTTGCGTTGAACTATGGCCAAAGAACCCTCGGCTTTGTTTATGTACATGAGATCATTTAACGTTCTATCAACTAATAAGTAGGCAAATCTACCGTAAACGCCTGTTTGGGTGTTGCTATTTGAACTTTAAGTCAAATCAAGGCTATTTCCTTCTTTTTCACAAAAGGAAGTAATAAATTTCATATAGGAATAGGTAATTTGAAAGATGCTATAATTTTATTAATTGGAATACTGATGAGACAGCTGTATGTCCACTGGCGTTTTAAGAATTCACATTTGAACTGGAAGGAAGTTGATTATATCTACTCTGGGCTGAACATATAAGTCTTCGTTAAGAGCATTTCAAGTTGGAGCTTATAGTGTGATGATTGTGAAATAGGAATTAACTTTGCTTGGTGCCGTCAAACCAATATAAATACTTCTATCCAGGTGATGATTCCGCCGTAAATATCATAAAGTTGCATAATTTTTGAAGAGGCAGCTTGATTTATCTCATCAAAATATTTAAACCCTTCTTCTCTAGCAATTGATACCTCTTTATCTCAAGTAAAGAGGTATCAAGTAGAACCGTCATTAATTCACACGTGGTCGCTTGTATACGGACATCTAACTATCAGTTTATGTTATTCTTATTCAGGAAAGATATTGATATCATGGGAAATGCCAAATCCTCGATACTTGACTACTTATCAGATGCAAGAAACCTACGATGATTAGTACGAAATCATCTAACTCAGTAACATTTTCCTACAATATCCATATCCATATATATATAGGCAAGCAACCCATGCGAATTAACAGGCATTCCATAAAAAACCATACATGCGTTTGCTCCTAAGTATTTACTAATGCTAATTAATTTGGAAAAATGGCAAAAGACATTTTTATTTAAAAGTGGTATCAGGATCCAACTGCTTCTTCTGCCAATTGCAATGGTGTAATTATCCATATCTGAAACGAAGGCACCCACCTATGGTCGATTTCTGTGCATCATGGTGTGGTTGCCGTAGTAAGCCACCTAACTGGCGGGGCAGTAGAGCTCTTCTAGTGAGTGATGAGCTACTAATTCAATGGCCTAAGGGGTGAATATTTTGCTATAAGGTCGAAAGCAGCGATGAGAGGGTAATCCATTAGGGGGCGCAAGTAGATGAGGCTAATTAGGCAAATTGTGAAAGGGAGTTTTTAAGTCATTTAGACTAGAGATGCTGCCAACCATTTTAGTTAGATAAGTCAAAATAGAGGAATAATCAACAATTATTTTCCCAAAATGACAGGCTGCAAAAAATTTTAATAATTTTATGGAAAGGGGCTTGTTATATCCACCCTATTTCAAGTATTTTGATATCTACGCTTCTGATATGTCATTATTTCAGAATTGCAATATTTAATATATTTGAAAGGTTATTTAAAGAAAAGCACTGTGGATATACTTACAGAGATCCTGAAGAGTTTCTGCACGGCGAACGAGGGCTAATGGTCCTAAGGAGGCAGATTCCAAGACAGGCAGGTGGTTCAACATGACCACGATGGCAAGTAAATGCGCCACAACGAGAGCACTTTGGAGAAGCATTATAGGCTAAAATAAAGTTGCCTTTGAGAGGAAATAGACGCCGCTCCGGCTTATATATTAGTGACCTGACTGTCCGGTTAATTTTGATTGGCTGATTGGAATATTAATTATTTAGGGTTCATTTCTCATCATTTTGAGCTGAATTTTCATGGGGAAGCCGTTCTATGCGACATAAACACACACACTCACACACACAGAGAGAAAGGGAGTAAAATAAAATGTCTTCTCATCATTTTGTCGGAATTTTATTAGGAGAAATGGCGAGGCGGATGTTTTTGTTGACCATCTTCCTACGCATTGAAGACATGGGAATCGCATTCAGAGGAGATCAAAAAATGGTAGAGTCGTATTTTTGTTCCCATTATGAAATGCATTTAATCGTAAGTCTCACTTTTTCGGAAAATATAGGTATTTCAAGCGGTGTAATTGGCAAATATAATGTCATAATTTATAAATAATTATATCGAATGGTAGGTTCTATGATAACTATCAGTAGACCTTTAGTTGACTTTGGGCTTCACAGAGGGGAGGAACATTAAAGTCACAAAAAGTCGAAGAGGAGGGATTCACAGATGTAAAAGAGACAGACACAAAGGTAGAGAAAGGGCGAGGTAAGGGGGGCACTGGGAAATGGTGGAATATGACATAGAGTGGGGTCATGGTAGTTTAAAGTCAGAAGTCAACTGCCGGTTGATAGACTTTTTTGCAGTATGAGCATACGTGCATAAAGTGGAGGTGAGTTTATCGCACACCAAATTTATATATATATAGGATTAATTTTTCATAACTTCAATCAATTTAGCTCTCAAGTATTTAGATCCATTATGATTTTGTTGTGTAGAATGGTAAAGATTAATTATGATGGAAAATCATGATTGTAATAAGGGTTCTAATCAGAGATGTGGACCCATGAAAGTTATGTCTAAGTGAAGTGGACGAATTGCCTCTTGGCCAATTTTTGTCAATCCATAATAAATTCACTAGGAGGGCTTGAATTAGCTGACATTTATTTTGTTAGGTAAGTTTGTTAATTCATAATGTCAGCCTGATACTCTTCAGCTATGTCGAAGTCATCACTTGAGGGGTCAACGTCAAAAGAGATACTGACTCAAGGTCGTTTTAACTCAACTGAAGACCATTCCAAATATTTCTTATTTACCAGGAACTATTCCTCGCCAAATATTCGACAAGAAAGCACCTTCTTGTTTAGTTGCCCAAGTAATTTAATACATATATCCAATAAAATTTTCGGAGAATATGGCTCATGATAATATTTAAGAGAGTACTATCCAAAGTCATGATCAAAGTAGTCTATTAACAGGAAATTTACTCTGGTCTGCCTATTTCCTAACTACTCAACAATGTATAGAGCTATATGCAAATTAGTCGGAAAACGAGTTCTATACTTTTACAAGTCAAATCTATGGCGGGGGAGGGGGAGGGG